AACACACGGTTTCTACATGACAGACCACAAGGGCAACGTGAGTTACACTCATATATCGGCGTTCCTGGTTTAACTTGTACCCTCCCATTTCTGTCATATGCAAACACCCCCCCACTGTTCCTCGGACAATCACAAGTGTCCATTGTACAAATCCGCTCACAGTTGCACCCAACAAGATAATCAACATCAAACAAGTGGCTTGGAATGTCTTTGTGTAATTTATTTTTGGTGGCGTACGTGAAGTCCTGAGGGGGGCCCTCGTTATCAACGACATTCTCCACAGCAATGTACGCCTCATTCCCACTCTGCTCATTCAGATAAGCTTCCCAATCGTCAAGCTGTTGATGTAAGTCCTTCTTGTATTTATACAACTTTCTACGAAAAGATTTATTCCTGCATCCGGCAACCTTTCGGAGTTTCAAATGCAACTCGTACTTTGATTCGTAGCGTGACTTCAGTGAAGCTATTGTCTCTAAGCAGGGGAGGGTGAAATCTCTTAGACGTACTTCTGTACTGGACGTAGTAGAAGGCTCTTGTTCATTTGTCCCTTGCCAAGTGTTAACCTTCTCAGTAGTTTCCTGTAGATTAAGGTCGTCTAAAGTTTCACAGGAAGCCGAATTTGTTGTCGAAACCTCATCATCTTGAATATGTACGACTGGAGGGCGCGAAGAGTTAACAACAGAAGATATAAATACTTCTTGTACGCTTGATGCGTCTTCTTGATCGTCTCCATCCTCAAAGACGGAGGAACAAGGCGTTATAGTAGGTGTTTGTTCATTGACAGTGCTTGAAACATCTAACGGTGAATCCTCAATACAAATGACTTCGGGAAGTTTACAATCTCTTCTCTCCACTTCGTCTAAAGCGGAACAGTAACCGGTGCTTGAACTTGAAGAATTTAAGAGGAAGAGCGAGGCGATAAGGCTGTCATCCATGTTACAACTTCTCCACAAGTGTACAAATACTAAACTTACAAACGATCTTTTCAAATGAAGTAATCATTGTCCACCATTGTGACCCGACATGCTTTCTTTTCGCGCCTTAAACAGGTTTTCCGCTTTTCACACCACAAAGGATTATGGGTAAAATTCATCTGAAGACCGCTGAACAATGTTTGCGTTTCGCTTTCCTTCCATGTGAGTCATTTTCAGCACCGACAGACTCTTGTAAAGACACCTTTAATTTTCCATCCTAGCTTTCTAGAATTGTCAAAATGAACATAAGGTGTGCAACGGTAAGTGTTACGCACATCTGTGCTAAATCGTTGATTGNAGGCTTTTTTGGCAACTTCATTTTTGCCATTATTGCTCAAATGTTCTGCAGAAATCATCTTAAATGTTTGTTATTTATGTTATATGTATATGTACCTTTTAAAAGACATGTAGCATTCATTTAATTTAATGAGTCAAAATGTTATTAAATCAGTTGGGCAGAGCTGAGGGATAACAATCTTGACCAGTTCCATGAACAGTTTAGCCTTGGGAAGTTTTCCGTGTTGCTCAATGAATGATGAACAAAATAGCACTATCTGTGGGTTAAGGCTGACTATATGTACATAGCAAAATGAGATTTTCTTTAAAAGGGCTACATGCAATATCCTTCAACAGCAATAGAGCAGCCCTTCATCTTTACAACAAGACTCTTGGTTTCAGGTAAGCCACATACATGTACATGTGCAGTATATAGGAACTAAGAGTATTCTTCTAAACATGACTGCAATCAGCTGTTCTTCTGTAGTCATTGGTCTGTTGAACCTAGGGAAGCGGGGAGTGGCAGAGTGGTGAGAGGGCTCACCTCCTGCCAGTGTGGTCTGGCTTCGAATCCTGGACCCAGCGTCTTAAGGGGGTTTATTGTTCGTTGTCAAGTTGCTCCAAGAATATTTTTCTCCAGGTTCTGAGGTTTTCCTCCATCTACAAAAACCAGCACTTCTTTTAAAGATAATGTCATTTTGATTCGGGAACAGTAGAGGAAGAACCTTTCCATTGGATGTGCCACTGCAAATTTCTTTTTTGTTATTTCTTTTTATTATTCATTTGTTTATTAATTACATCTGAAAAGATGCACAGCCTTCAGCCTTCATTGAGCAGTACCACATGAAAGGACTGCTCAATAGCTTTCATTTGAATGGTCACAAACCAGAGTTTCATCCACAGGTTTCAAAACTACAACCACCTTGCACAGCATAATAAACAATACTACATCAAAGTACTGCTCAGTAGCTTTCATTTGAATGGCCACACACTAGGGTTTCATCCAGGAACTTTAAAGTTAGAACCCCCTTGTACAGCATAATAACCCGTACCACGTGAAAGTACTGCTCAATAGCTTTCATTTGAATGGTCACACACTAGGGTTTCATCCACAGACTTAAAAGTTAGAACCACCTTGTACAGCATAACAAACAGTACCACTTGAAAGTACTGCTTTGCAGCCCTAACCCTAACCCTATTAAGGTAAATTAATCAGTGATCTTTGAGGCATCTGCTTTTCCTCGTGTCAACCAAATGTCTCTTGTTTTCATGAACAGCATTTCTGAAATTGAACCAAAGTACTATGCTGATGGTGAGGACGCTTATGCCATGAAGAGAGATCTGACTGGTCTTAAACTGGAGGTTGGTTTTTGCTTTTCCATTCTTTTCAGTGTACCAACTGGGTCCTTCGGTTTGTC